TGTTTAGCCTGGAGAAGAGGACGCTCATGGGAGACCTTATTACCTCTGGTTGCCTGAGTGCCAGCATGAGGAGATACTGCTGGCTCTGATGGCCTGTGCTTGGGCAAGGGGAGAGGAGCTTTGCTCCCCTGCAGCCGCTTTCGCAGCTCAGTGTCCGTGCTGGCTGGGCACCCGCCACCCAGGCCTCTGGCTGGGGTGCTGCACTGGAGCATGGCCAGAGCCATTGTCCTCCTCCTCTTTGTGCATCACCCACAAGACTGGCAGCTCCATTCCTATGGCATTATTGTTGCCAGTTCTGCAGGGAACGGGAACAAAGCACAGTACTGGCACCAAAAAACACTGCATACAAATGAACCTCAGTTAAACTTGTAAATGGAAAAAATCTGATATGGCCTTTACTGGGAATGAAGCATTTCATCATGGGCTTTATTTTACTTTTTGTGTCCTCTGCTTGCTATCAGCTTTGCAAGACTGTTTTTGATCTCCCACTACTTTACAGAAAGCTTCTATGTTTCAGTTTTCTTAATCGTGATTTACATCCCTCACAAAACAGTAGAAATAATTCTAAATGCTCCAGATAAAATAGGAACTCCCTGTTCTGTGGCACTGAATTAAATACTTCATTTTACCCTCACTAGCAATCAGCAGAAATTCATTTGAAAGAAAGGTAGAAAACTACTGGCCATACTGAATCAGCTCAAAAGTTCATTTGCTCCAGTACTCTACATCTGACAGTGGCCAGTAGCAACACTTGGGGAAAACACATAAGCAGAGGGTGAGCATGTAGTGAGGTCTTCCTGGTATATTCTCTCAGGTCTCAATAACCTGTAGCTCAAAGGCCTTGCAAAATAGTGGTTGTACCTTTTTAGTAGTTTCTGATGGATTTTTTCCAATGCCTACTTAGTAGGTTTTTTAATCTCTTCTCTACTTTCTGCATGTATAACATAATAAAGCCATAAGGTCCAAAACTTGGAACGAAAGCTACTCACAGCAGTCAAGATGCAGACATGTAATGAAGGAATAGTAAAAATGAACTGCAGAGAAGATAAAAGTGTACAGCTTTAATAACAAGAGTACAGATTATTCCCTATGTGGAAAAAAAGGGAAAGGAGAAAGAAACTGCATGAATTAATCCATCATCAGAGCAGGAGGGAAAAAGGACTTCATGTTGTCCTTGTATTTTACATAAGTTTTACATATAAGGAATGGCTTGAGAAGACTACTAAAGTCAGTGCTCATAGTTATGTCTTGCTTTGGACACAACACAGAAAAAAGAGACTTGCTTGGGCCCTCAGTGAAATGATTTCACCTTGTCCAGACTAGGCATGCTTCTACCCTGGGATAGCTTATGGTGACACTCCCTGGGGGATCTCAGCCCCATGTGTTGAGCCCAGGAAACTCCAACCACCACCCATGGAGCAAGGGTTCCTGAGCAAACACTTCATGTAACCTGCTGGCCAAGAATGGTCCCTTGGCTGCAGGACTAAGGCAGGAGCCCAGGCTGCAGCATGTGGCTTGCCTGCTGCCCTGTGGGCTGAGTCCTTCCTACAAGTCTCAAAATGTCTGAAACCAATATCTGCAAGATTGTCCTGGTTTTGTTTCCACCTGTAATTTAAGGTGGGACACTGATCTACAGAACTTTAGATTCTCCTATCTGCTCTCTTCTCTTTCCACCTGCTATTTATGAAAGCAGTAGATCCAATTTTGAAAACTGAGCCAAGCTTTGAAAGACACATGCAGGCCATTGCCTCTGCAATCAGGTTTCCTTGTAGTCTTGCTAGGTTGCTTTTCTGTTCAGCCTTCAGGGTGTGCCATGAAAATCACCTCTTTTCTCAGATGCTAGCCTGAGAAGGCAGGGAGCACTGAGTTTCTGGAAACACAGTTATAGTTTCCACAAAGCCAAGAGCTGCTATGTTGATACTATTCAAACCCTTGAGCCAAGTTAGCTGCTCGTGTAGTTACCACAGGTTCCTGGGAGCTCTGCCAGCAGCAAGTATCTGGTAGCTAACTCAGATACTTTCTAGTGAATGTCCCTGTGTACTGGAAAGTGGATAGATTCAGATCAGCATCCCAGCCAGCTGACTCTGTTTCCTTCCAGCGAGCCAAACTTCCCAAGAAATCATATGTCAGCAGGGTGAGGAAGTACTCACACATCTTCCAGGCACTCTGGCGGCTGCTTCAGCCTGTTCCCACTGATGAGGTAGTTGTAGATTTCTGCATTCTCAATGCCAGCATAAGGGGTTTGCCCTCGGGTCACAATTTCCCACATGGTCACACCAAACGCCCACTGAAAGAGAACAGCACATAGAACAAGAGAACAGATAGTTCCCTGCTTGCTGGGGTGGGGGTTCAGTTGATCAGACTGTGCTGACCCTCCCAGTCTGGGGTAATGTGAGCAGCAGTGATGCTCCCAGCTGTCCCAGCTCTTGCTAGAAAACAAAGAAATGACCCATCAGATGCTGCCCATGCTGACACATCATCTTAGGAGACAGCTGAAGGCCCTCCCTGGCCCTGTACTGCAGTGGAGCAGGGGAACATTTGGGAGCTACTGCTATCTTCCACCTGCAGACCTCTCCCAGTCATCTCCTACTCACGGTTCTTTAAGGTATGCAGTATCAGTTTTGTGGTTCCAAGCTATAATCAGTTTCTTAATTCAATGAACCAGATTCTGAGTTTCTAGTAACATGCACGTACAAGTGGAGGCAGAGTTTAGCCAATAAGCAGGGCAAGGAACAAAACACTTACTGTTCATGTTCATGTCTGCTCGACACTGTAACAGTCACACTTGTACATTTCAACTAAACTGCAAGGTTCATTAGGTGCAAAAAAATTACAATTTTCATAAGCAAACCCCTGTCCAGTGTCTACTGTAAACTGTGAACTAGTGATCACCAATCACTAGACACTGTCTACAGTGGTTAACAGCAAACACTGAGCAGCCACATTACACTCTTTGTATCCTCTTCAGGAACATTGTGACACAGATAACTAGAAAGGCAAGTCCACAGGACTGAAGGACAAAACTAGATTGAAAGGCAGCAAGGAAGAGGGGAGAAGGTATCAGAAAAAACCCCACCCAAAACCAAACAAAGGGAAAATAAGTAAAAATTTCAGAGGAGTAGGTTTAGCCTCGCTCCCAGGGCAAAGTTATGGAGAGGGTCTAAGCAGTGATGTATTCAGAATCTATGAAGTTCCACCGGTGCCTTCTGTAGCACAGAGTACCTTTGCTGCACTTGTACATAAATGTGTGGGTTACAGGCATTTCAAATGTTGCCTTCAAACTATCATGAGGAAGAGAAAGGAAAAAGTCAAGAAGAAACTGCATAAAGAGAGAGGAGAAGGAAGAGGAGGAGAGAAAAAGTGAAGGAGAGGATGGGGCTAAGCACTAAAAAATAAGGACAAAATGACAACAAGAGGAATTGATGTCTTCTGCGATAAACCACTTGCACACATTCTTAGTCCTGAGTTCTGATAGCACCCAAGGTGGAGGTATCCACCATCCCTCAAACACAAGGCGAACTCCCTTTCCCTTCACCAGGGCTTTTTCCCATCGAGAAAAAGTGAAGGAGAGGATGGGGCTAAGCACTAAAAAATAAGGACAAAATGACAACAAGAGGAATTGATGTCTTCTGCGATAAACCACTTGCACACATTCTTAGTCCTGAGTTCTGATAGCACCCAAGGTGGAGGTATCCACCATCCCTCAAACACAAGGCGAACTCCCTTTCCCTTCACCAGGGCTTTTTCCCATCTTCAGTGGATGCAATTCCTTTACTAATACAAGTGGTCCCCAAATGCACCAGAGTAAAACTCACCACATCGCTGTGCGTTGTGTACAGATTATCTGCCAGACTCTCCAGAGCAAGCCACTTCACTGGCAGCTTGGAGGCACAGCCCTGACGGTAGTAGTCTCCACTGTAGATTTTCTTAGAAAGTCCAAAGTCTGCAACACTCACGTTCATGTTCTCATCCAACCTATGGGAAAGTTTTCACAACTGAGGAAAGGAAAGCATTTCAGGGAATGGAGGTATAATAGATCATCAAGCATTACCCAAAAGGATAATGATTGCACACACCTACTTGATGACCAATGTAAAATAGTTTAGTGGTCTCAAATCAGTTCCTTCAGACTAACAGATAAATAATTAAATAATTTAGGACTGAGGAAGTAAGGAAATGGCTAAGCTCAGATGGTCTACTCTGTTACACAAAGTCAACTCAGGTACTTTCTGTAGTTTCCAAGATTATCAGAGGACACCTGCAGTGCTCACTGCTACCACTAAGGCCTGCTCCTGTATTGGCAATCAAAAAAATCGTAGAGTGCATGTCTAGAGTGCCTGTTAAAACTGCTTGAACTGGATCTGCAACATCGTCTCCCCAGGCCTGCTTAATGGTCTGAATTGCTCTGTCACCCATTAAACCTAGACACATTGGTAGATAATGCAAGTAAAGCCCACAAAGACTTCATCCTCCCAGGCCTCATAAAAGACTCATGGATTTCCCCAGAAGATGTGCTGAAATAGGCATTCAGCCTCCTCTGGAGGAAGTCTGCATTCTTCCAATGTTTACAAATAGGAAATCAGTATGTGTTTCTCATAAATGTCAAAGCAGGCTAACTCATCATTTTTCATTGCGACTATCAGGCTCTCATCTGTACATCTGGACATTCAAATGCCTTTGGAAAGCCATGTGTCATTGCAGATTTTACTGGTTGTCGTGGTTTTGTTCAGAGGCAGAGTTCTGTCTGTCAGAATGGGTTGTTCCTTACTCTGTTCTCAGGGAAGAAGCAGAGTGGAAAGGATAAAAAAGGACTCTTCTTCAAAGCAGTCAAGGTAGCTTGGGGTCAAGAATAGAGAAATGGGATTATATAGTATGTTCACCATGCAATTATTTTTGAAGGCATTCTCCACAAGTTTTCAGGGAAACTACACTTCTTATATTGTGATAATCAAGTCCTCAAAATAGATATAAGAAATACAGACTTCAGGCTACAATGAAAGTTCTTTCTTTCTAACACAGCCAAAGCCATTCTCTCCTGTTGACTGCAATATATTGTGAAACAGATAGCCTATGCTGACACACAGACACTGAGTGGCTAATTACAAACATGTATCACCTCTATTAAACCACATGTGCAGACCAATGATGGAAAAGTTCCTTATAAAAAGGGTTTATTTGAAAGCTCAGTGGGACTCTAAGAGTTGGTCCCTGCTCCCAGCACCAGCACACACCCCACCTCCATGGCCATGGCTTCCCTGTGTCTATTGTCACTTAAATGCAAGGATCATCACTCTCGGACAGGACACCTCCCCAGTTCTGTCGTGTGAAAGGTTTCTTATCTCTGCCTCACCCACTCTGGTCTATTTTTTCCTCTTAAAACATACTTACATGCAGTTCCGAGCTGCAAGGTCCCTGTGTATGAAATTTTTTGAGCTCAAGTACTCCATCCCACTGGCAATGTCAATCATGAACTTGAGGAGTGTCTGAACAGGCAAGTTCTGTAAGAAATAACAGTCTAAGTTCTGTTCTGGAAACTTTCTAGCATGTATGACAAAACTGCAAGATTTGCTGCTAGCTTACAGAGCAGGGATAGGGGCTATAGGGAGGGGATGGAATGGAGGAGCTGCTCCTCAGCATGCATGGAATGAAATACTTCAGCATCACATCTCAGAGCTTTCTTTGGTATTAAAATCCAGACATCTGCCAGTGCCTTTGGGAGACCAACCCTGAACTGCCCCAAGTAC